TCACTCTAAATACCATCTTCATCTAAAGACAAAAGATGATGTTGGGTGGAGATGGGAAGTCAGTTTAGACAGGTTATCAGGAAAACAGCATGAACAGGGGTAAGTTTGTAATGCAGATTTAAGTTTTGCCTTCTCCACTGATAAGAATTCTGGAGACTGAGTCATCCCCCTCTTATTGGCACAGAGGGAGACACCCTTACAAGTAGAGATTGTAAATGTAAATGTCTCCTACAAAAGGGTGACTTCTGTATGGTTTTCAAAGCTTTCTCTGTGCTTGCAATTTGTTAAAAATAATCAGTCCAAGATAATCCTTATGCCAGAGAGACCCATTTTGGGGGGCAAATTCTATTCCTCTACATCATGAAAGATAAATAAAATATAGTAAAATAATCTCCTTCGTTTTACTTCTAGAAGTGAAGCGTTAGGTTGTACATGTATGAAAAATGTTTTATTTTGCCTAGTCTCTGGAACCAACCAGGCTTTAATATCCTTCAAAAGTTGGCAGATGAGTGCCACCCACCTTAGTGTTAGGGCATTGAAATGTATATTTCAGATCATAACCCTTATATTTTAAAGGACTGGAGAGCCCAAGTATTCTGTCTTCTATAGCTTGGTTTAGAAACATAGGCTAATATGTATGTTTGCAATTTTCTTTTTGTGTTTTCTGTTTTCTTTCCTTCTCTTTTTCCTTTCAGTTTTTAAAAATACTGTGTCCTAGGATTAAATAGTGAGTAGTAAAATGCACAGTATTCTGTGAGCATCATTGGGCCTGAAAATGGTTCAGTTTCTATATTCATTTCAAGGGCTGCTTTGAAGTATTCTCTGTAGCTCTGTAATCTTAATGCATCATTAAGGAGTTTGGAGAAAAGAAGGAAAACTCATGAAAGGTGTAGACAAATGACACATGAAGGCTTCCATTTTGAGGATTTTTAAATTTATTTCCTAATCCAATATATTTATGTTTGCCTTTTATTGCTTTTCTTTTATGTAATTGGCAGTAATTGGCAATACAATTGTGTATAAATTTTTCTTCAAGAGAGAACACAAGCAAATAAAAATGTCATTCATTTACAGCAATAAAACATACATTAGAATAACAGATTTGGTTATAAAAGGTAACATCTAAGGGGAAGCTGCCACAAGTACACATTTGTGTAAACTGATCTCAGCACTCATCTGCAGACTCTTCAGAAGTCTTCTTCAAATGAGACGTCTTCTTCAGAAAAGGTCTGATTGTATCTGGAATAACAAAAAGCTTCATTGGAAGGAATTACTGTGCAACTAAGTTTACAGAGCTAACTGATCCAGAATTGCTACATGAACTTCTATGCGAATGTGAACTATACTTATTTTCTGTCTAGTTAATACAGAAAGTTTAGATGAATAGCTGTTTTTGTAACATTTCACAAAATATTTACTAAGTGCCTACTGTGTGCAAGATATTTTATTAGGTGCTTTATCGAATGCAAAGTTAAATACACAATCAGGTGGGACAGGCAAATAATTTATTATAAAACAAGGTACAGAGACATAAATGGATGTTAAAACACTGTGTTCTGTAGGTTACCATAGTAAGGAATGATGAAATGTTGGTATAATTATCACAGCCCATGGATTAAAATAAGATTAATGGATTAATAAGATTTTATTTAATACTGAAGGCCAAGTGATTCATTAATCATTATAAAAACTTTGTTTACTTTAAAAAATCTTAAAAGTTTTCTCATTCCGTGTGTAGTTTTAGTTGCCGTTTGGAATGAGAGATGTTTTTTGTTTTGTTTCAAGTTGTTATTTAAATATTAGTTAATATAAAGTGTAATATTAGTTTCAGTGATTCATTTACACACAACACCGAGTCCTCATCACAAATGCCCTCCTTAATACACATCACCCATTTAACCTACCCCCCACTCACCTCCTCTCCAGCAAACCTCAGTTTGTTCTCTTTGTTAAGTCTGTTTCATGGTTTGCTTCTCTCTTTTTCCCACTGTGTTCATCTGTTTTGTTTCTTAAATTTCACATATTTGAAATCATATGGTATTTGTCTTTCCCTGAATTATTTCACTTAGCATAATACACTCTAGCTCCACCCATATCATTCAAATGGGAAGATTTCATTCCTTTTAATGACTGAGTAATATTCCTTTGTATATGTATATATTTTTATCTATCAGTTGATGGACATTTGGACTCTTGCTGTAATTTGGCTGTTGTTGATAATGGTGCTGTAGATACTGGGGTGCATGTGTCCCTTTGAATCAATATTTTTGTATCCTTTGGGTAAATACCTAGTAGTGTGATTGCTACGTTGTAGGGTAGTTCTATTTTTAACTTTTTGAGGAGCCACTGTACTATTCCAGAGTAGCTGCACCAGATTGCATTCCCACCAACAGTGTAAGAGGGTTCCCCTTTCTCTGCATCCTTGCCAACAACTGTTGTTTCCTGTGTTTTTAATTTTAGCCTTTCTGACAGGTATGAGGTGGTATCTCATTGTAGTTTTGATTTGTATTTCCATGATGATGAGTGATGTTCAGCATCTTTGATGTGTCTGTTAGCCATCTGAATGTATGTCTTCTTTGGAAGAATGTTTCGTCATGTTTTCTGCCCATTTCTTAACTGGGTTGTTTGTGTTGGGGGTGTTGAGTTTGATAAGTTCTTTATAAACTTTGGATACCAATCCTTTATCAGGTATGTCATTTGCAAATATCTTGGAGGGAGAGGTATTCTTAACACCCATGTGACAATTATATTTTTTTCTCTGCTGTTTGTGGAATTAAAATGAATTTGTTTGAAAAGTAATGGACTTATTTCACAAAGATATACTACTAGAGGCATCAAGGCTTGCTTACTCCACTTTGGATGTAACACAGCTTAAAAGTTGGAATAGCTTTGAAAACTGTATTGAGTCAAATGACTTCTAATTGATTTATGATAATCTGATTGATTATCAGTGGGTATGGTTGTTATGTAATCACAATTGGCCCTCTGAGCTCTACCATCATGAATCTGCCATGAAATATACCCAGGGAATTTGGATCAACAGAAAACATAACACCTGTCATAGATTCATAGAAGTTTCCATTTGAAGACCTTGAAGTTTATCTAATCTAACCCCTCCATTCAAAAAGATTGAGGTCCAACATCAAAGAGATAATAGGAGATCAGTCTAGTGGTCAGAATAATTTTGGAGATATCTTTGATATTGATGTACTCACATTGCTATTTTTGTTATTTCCCTGATGGATTTAAACTGATCTGCTTATTTACTATAGTTCTGTCATCTTAATAATAATTATTTGCTTCTGACTTTTTTTCTGCTATAGGCTTCTCCTTAATTAATGAAGGTGAACATGAAGCTTGATGGCAAAATGAAATCATTACTAATCATTCACAGAGCAAAAATAAATAAATTCGGGCATTTTTTTAAAATGAAACGTGTATCTTTTTAAATAGATTATCAGGATTTTGTTTTAGCTCCTTTTTCTATTGTAAAATGCAGAATCATGTATATTAGTGTTAGAAAGGGATTGTGATCATGGTGCTTTGCATGATGTGTTTGGTTCACAGTGCATATATATAATTATTGTGACTTTTGCCCATTTTTTAATTGTAATTTTTGTGAGAGAGAAGAATCAGATTTTTCTCATTTTTCAGCTTCTCACTACAGCATAAAAATATCCTCTTTTTTTTTTCTGATCACACACAGAAACACAAAAGATCATTCTAATTTAATATTAGATCCTGTTTCCAATGTGGTGAACACAAACCTTTTTTTCATACTCCGTGCTAGTGTAAGTCCAAATTTTACAGTAATATGTGGATTTCTTATTACAGGTACATGTTGGGGCTTGCAGCAATTCCAGCAGCTATACAGTTTTTTGGCTTTCTCTTTTTACCTGAAAGCCCTCGATGGCTGATTCAGAAAGGACAGACTCAGAAGGCCCGTAGAATCTTATCTCAGATGCGTGGTAACCAGACCATTGATGAGGAATATGATAGCATCAAAAACAACATTGAAGAAGAAGAAAAAGAGGTTGGCTCAGGTATGTAGATTTTATACTTACACAAATCTTAAAACTGCATAGTGGTGTTATCTAGAAACTATATTCTTTTGCTATTATTTAATACCTCTAAATGATATAGTGGTTTTATGTGTATAAACAAATCAAAATAAATATAATTTAATTTTAAAAGTAATATAATAGTGTTATAAAAGAAAGAAATATGTTCCCATACTACCACTGTTCTCACATAATTACTATTTTTATTTGTGTGTAGTCTCTTTTATTCTTTCAAAATTGGATATGCTTGACATGGTTGTCATTGTGCAGGCGGTAATTTTTGAACTATATGTATATTTTATATATATGTGCATATTGACCTTTTCATATTAACTAAAAAGTCATAGTGTGAACTATTGTCAAAATCACTTTAGTAAAAATACCTTGTTTACGTGCGTTACATTAATTTCCATATCGGTTTTTTTTTTTTTTTTTTTTTTTTTTTTTTACGTTTATTTATTTTGAGAGAGAGAGAGAGAGGGAGGATATATCCCTAGCAGGCCCCATGCTGTCAGCACAAAGCCTGACGTGGGTCTAAGTTCCACAACCTGGGATCATCATCTGAGGCGAAACCAAGAGTTGGACACTTATAATTGACTGAGGCACCCAGGCTCCAGTTTAGTTTTCACAGAGAATAAGAATACCTTCAGACCCTAGT